ATATATTATTCTATATAATATGTGTTTTACAATATGTATGTATAACTAAATAAATTAAATATTATAACACATTTGAGTATTCTATTTACATCCCTAAAATTTATAGATTCAAGTAGGCCAAAAGACTTTGGGGCAATCTTTTCTTCGGGAAAGTTGGGCTCACATTATATTGAAGCCATTATTGAATAGCTGTGTGTCAGTTTCCCTGAGGTGGGAACTTACAGGGGAGGACCAACAAGCCCCCCTCAACCCCCACATCCAGGTTTCTCTCATTCTCAGATTCAAGGCCTGTAGATTTAAATACCTTGAAAATATTTTATGCGAGCTAAACTAGCCAAAATAAATTAAAACGGAAAAGGCTACTCTCCAGAGGCAAAATGGGAAATGTATACTTACAAATTGCTGGTGGCAGTATAAATTGGTTTCAATCTTTCTGACTATAAAATATATAAGCGCTACAAAACTGTTCATCTCCTTTGACTCTACCATCCCACTCTAGGGCGAGGCAGGGGTGGGGGCAGGGACTCACTGACAGACAAGGGTCTGCGGGCCTCATCTACTCATGGTGGGTTGGCTGATGCTTCTGCAGCGCCGACCGCCTCTTGAACACGCGGCCACATTCACTGCACTCACAGCGTCTTGTTCCACTGTGGGTCCTCCGATGGCGACTCAGGCCCGAGCTCCTCCGGAAGGCCTTCCCGCACTTGTCACACTCATACGGTTTTAGTCCACTGTGGATCCGCCGGTGTTTAATCAGGTCGGAGGGCCCCCGGAAGGCCTTGCCGCAGTCGCCACACGCATAGGGCCGCTCCCCGGTGTGGATGCGCTGGTGCTCCAGGAGGCTGGAGCTCTGCCGGAAGGCCTTTCCACACTGGCCACACTCATATGGCTTCTCGCCCGTGTGAATCCGCCGATGCTTGGTGAGCTCTGAGCTCCTCCGGAACAGCTTGCCGCAGTGGGGACACCCGTAGGGCTTGGCCCCGCTGTGGATGCGCTGGTGCTCGGCCAGGCCATTGACTCCTCGGAAGGACTTGCCGCAATCGTCACAGTCGAAAGGCAGGTGGCCGGTGTGCATTCGCTGGTGCTTGAGAAGTTCCTGGCGATCCAGGAAATCCCTGCTACAGGCCTTGCAGGCAAAGGGCTTTTCCGAAATATGAAGCTTCTGATGGCGAAAGAGGTGGGTGTTCACTTTGAAGGAACGCCCACATTCCTCACAGTCAAAGGGCTTTTCTCTGCTGTGGACACGCAGATGTTGACTGAGACCTGCATTCTTCTTAAACCTTTTCCCACATTCCTCACACTCAAACGGTTTCGCCTCCCTCTCCATTTGCTCCCTCTTCTCCACGGCATCATCGAGGGCCCGGCTTGGGCCAGGACGGGGCTCTACAGCCACATGGTTCTTCCGGTGTTCGTTGAATTCAGAGACAGCCTTGAAGACCTTCCCACAATCCCCACACTCCCAGCCCTTCTCTTCACTGTGAATTCTCTGGTGCTGCACCAGAAGGACCTTAAGCCGAAAGGCATCCCCACACTCTTTACATGCAAAGTGATGTTCTACGGGCAGATTCTGGGGGCTCCCCCCCTTCCCCTCAGAGTTCCCATTCTGTTTGACTTCAGGGCTGGGCTCACTGGCCCTTGGGGAGCTCGTGGATGTCATCTCCTGTGGCTGGGCGTCTTCACCCATCCTCTGGTATTGAGTCACCAAGATGCTTTCTGAAATGAGAAACACAAGACACTGCAGTCTGCAGATGGAAGGAAGGGAGGGAGGGAGGGAAGGAGGTTATTCTCCTTTGTCAAGAATTGCTTTACTCCTGAGACAGCTGATGGACCTGGAGGCCACTGGGTCAGAACAGCTGGTGCCCATCCAACTGGAAGCAAGGACCATAGAGGAAAAGGGCAGAAGGGCCTGATTGATTGAGCTTCCTACCAAAGTGGTCCTGAGGAAGTGTCCCCTTCTGTGACTGAAGAGCAGCCATATCCTTTCTCCAAAGGCTCAGCTGGGCTTCCCCATGATTTCCTCACATTTCTTCAGGATTCTTTTTCACTCACCAGAACACTTAGCTCATCCGTGTTAAGGGTCTGATACCAATAGCACGTGTCCTTGCACCAGGTGAGAAACCAAAGCAGGATTCAAAACAGGGACTCCTGCTTATGGAAAAAGAAATGGGTTATGGCAGCCAGAAATGACATCAGAAGAGTACAGGGCCTTCAAAGGGGAACCTCTTTCAATCTTCAAAGTCTGGGTTGGCTGTGACCTTCAGAAGTCATTCATCCATTTCAAATGCCTTTCCTAAGGGGCGGCTCCTTCCAGGGGCTGGATGAGACAGGCTCTGGGCCCACCTCCGCAGAGTGCCAAGTGGTCGTCCTGAGGAGCTGACCCTCCCTTTCTCTATATCCACCTCCTCAGGGCCCCATACTGAACTCCATGCTCTTCCACAACTCCACACCTGACGACAGCGTCTCTCTTCTAAGAACCCTCCCCACCTCACACATGCAGCATGATGGTGCACAGGAACTTGCTGTTGCCAACCTCTCTCTCAACAGTAAACTAGAATAAAATGGCCACACAATTTGTATCATTTGTGGGTTTAAAAAGTATTCTAGATTATAGTGGCTGGTTTGGTTTAATTTCTTTTCCAATAAAAGTCTGAAGGGGCATCCTTTCCTGCCATTAGATGTTATGGAGGAGCCCTGTGAGAAGTTGAATGTGGCAGACTCTTGTATTTTCTTAGAGCCCATTCCTGGGGCCACAAGCCCTCTCACCCCACTCCTGCTGCGTAGGATCATGAAGCTGATGGAAGGGCTAGGGGTGTCCTTACCCACGGAAGTCACGTTCCAGTAACACACCAGTGTCCTCTGCTCAGGGTCCAGCCTCAACCACTCCCTTTTTGTGATGTACTGTGCCACATTGCCAAATGTCAGTGAATTCTGAAAGAATTAAAAGGGATAATCAGTTATCTATCCATTCTAGAATGAGGTAGGGGCAGCACAGTAACACCAGGGACATGAGGTGAGGGGCTGGAATGAGTGTGCCTTGCTAACATGGAGATCTAACCACAAGTGTCAAGAAGTCCTGGAAAGAGAACCTGACCAAGTGCTAGGAGACCTGGGCCATGGCACTGGCCTCCCAAGGGACCTCAGTTCAATCACTTTCCTGGATTGAAACTTAGCTCCCCCAATGGTATGATGGGGATTACAAACCCCTGTGGGCATCCATTCCTCGGCAGAGTCCAGGGAGAGAAGCTGAAGAAGGGAGAAATGGAGGGAGGGAAGGCAGCAGCTGAGGCAAGAGGTGAGGCTGAGGCCAGAACAGGGAGTACTGACAGATCCCCAAGCTAGGCAGAGGAAAGCACAGTTCACCTGGGCCTTCAGCATCTCAAGAGGGCCTGCCAGGACCTAGTTTCCTGGGGCTCTATCCTGGAGAAGGACAAGACCTGGGGGAGGGGGGGCGGGAAGCAGGCAGAGTTAAGGAAAGTGAAAAGAGCTGCGAGTGACAGCAGCCCTGCCTTTGGGTCCCCTGGGATGAGACTGACAATTTCCTTTTCCCTGGATTTATATCTTGATGAGTCTTCTCTTCCACAGCAGCTGAGTGACAATCCAGAGCCTGAGTATGTATAAGAAAACATACCCCCAACAGTGGGGAAAGTGGACTGGCAAAGAATGAATACAGGCAGGCGAGAGGGAGCCCTGACAAGACAAGTGAATGTTAGCCCAGGCACAATCAGGAGAAGGCAAAGGCAGAGAGCTGATAGTGGGGAGTCTGGCTCTCAGAGACAGGCCAGCCACAGGCCTCCTAGAAGCTAACCTCTAAGAGGTCAGTGCTCACTCACACTGTACAGGAAGAAAGCATTCCCAAAAGAATATCAAGAAATATTTAGGAAGTGAGAGATTCTTTCCAAATTTGTAAGGGCAACAAAACATCAGATTGGGCCATTGGAGAAAAGAGAGGCAACGAAGGGCAGGAGCCAGGACTTTCTGACCAGTAGCAAGGCCCTTTAACGGCCACCCCCCACCCCACTGAAACAATTTGCCAGGTGACAATGAGTCAGCTACAGACAAGACATTTCTGTGATACATTTGACAAAAGGAAAAGTTGAACAAAACAGCTCAAAAAAGAAGCATCAAAGAAAAGATCTTTAAACACTTAGTTGCTAAATAAATGAAAGATCTGAATAATAATATGTATGAGTTACCTTTTTTTTCCAGATTGCAGAATATGTGAAAAATTACAAGATCCTACCATAGACATGTATACATCACAGGCCTTCCACTTTAGTGAGTTTAAAGAAACAGGAGCACAGTTTCTGTTCTGAAGCCGGGTAAAGTCAATTCAATTTATAATTAAATGAAAAGGAAGCATTTTTATACCAGCTCAAGGAGTACAAAACCCAGATACTCCAGCAGAAAGACTTACATAAAATTAGATGCTATGTTAAAAGGATGAATGGTGATTTCCACTTCTGGCCATGATGGGGTAACAAGGAAAGACTTAATGTCCTGCCATAAACAAGCAGAAAACTGTACAAAATAGATGTGAAGCAACAGTTTTTAGACATTGGACAGCAGGCAACACAGGTTCAGGATCCCTGAGAGAAGAGAAACAAATGAGATGAGCCTTATCACCAGTTCTTTGGAAGCAATTTCCAGATTGAGAGTGTAGAGAAGGGGGACCCAAACAGAGCTTAGTGGCTTCAAGACACAAATCAGTGTTCAAGGCAGCTGGAAGTTCCAGAGCAGAGTTCCAGAAAGGAGGGAGCTTTGCAGAAAAAAGAGCTCCAAAAAAATCTTCGTAAGACTACTAAGCCATGCATGCATAGAGTGAAACTCCAAAAGATGGGGAAAGCAGGACCAGGAAGCTGTAACTGGAACAATTCCTAGGACACACAAAGGTAGAGAGATGTTCAGGGCCCAAACAACCAGAGTAGAGAGTCCTCCTCAATGATCACCCGGGACATTCAGTAAAGAAACAAAGGAAAAAGAACAGATGAGACAGATAGAAACAAATAGCAAGATGGTAAATTTAAATCCAACCATATGGATAATTAAGTTCAATGCAAATGGAGTCACAAAGGGTAAGATTTCCTTCTTTTTTACAGCCAAGTAGTATTCCATTGTGTAAATGTACCATAGCTTTTTGGGGGTTGGGTGGGGGAGAGCATTATGCTAAGTGAAATAAGGCAGTCAGAGAAAGACAAGTACCATATGATTTCACTCATGTGGAATCTAATGAACAAAATAAACTAACAAACAAAATAGAAAAAGACTCATAGGTAGAGGTAGAAGAGGGTAAAGGGGGGTAAATGGTGATGGAAGAAGGCTTGGGGTAGAGAACACACAATACAGCATACAGATGATGTGTTGTAGAATGGGGTAGGGGCTGGGCGGAGGGGGGAAGTGGGAGGAAATAGGGGACATCTGTAATACTGTCAACAATAAAAATAAACTTAAAAAATGTAAAAAAAGAATTGTGCACCTGAAACCTATATAATTTTGTTAACCAGTGTCACCCCAATAAATTCAATAAAAAGGAAACATGCAAATAGACTAAACACTCCAAATAAAAGATAGAGATTATAAGACTGTATTTAAAAAATGAGACTCAACTATATGCTGTATACAAGAAACTTTAAATATAAAGACTTTAAATATAAAGACATGGATAGGTTAAAAGTAAAAGGATGGGAAACAATATACTGTCACCAACAGGAAGTGTCTAAATAATCCCCATGTCATAAAAACAAGAGAGTGGGAGAATGCAACTCAGAGCTCTGGAGTTGTTACTGAAGAGTCCTAGAACTCAGAGCAGGCATGAAAACTGGAGAACTTAGGTATAAAATCAACAGGTGGCAGAAAACCAACTAACCAACAAATAGAATAAAAGTAAATAAAAATGGAAAAAAAAAAATCAACAGGTGGCCAATGAAGGATGACATGCAGATTATAAAAATGAGACTCCTTTGCAGAAGATGTAGAGAGGCAGAACTGTTTGTTAAATCATTGAAAGAGGGTAGGTAAAGGGGAGAGAATGGCTAAGTATACATTTGCTTTTTGGAGATAAAAGGAATAAACTGAGAGTGACTTGTAGCTAAAATGAGCACACCTATAGTGCAGTGTGTGCCACACTGGGGTGGAGTCTGGGTCTAGAAAGGTCTGCTTTCTGTTTCTGTAATGAGTGAATTATTAGTAACCAAGCTGCATTTCTTTGGTAATCAGAAAAAAACAACCATTTTAAAAGATGTGGGTAGACTTTGGATAAAAAAGGTGGTCAGCATGCAAGAGGACAGGGCTGAGGCCTCGAAGCTGGGCAATGCCCTGAGGTGCCCACATGGGCAAGGCAGGCACAGGGAAGAAGGGCTGGCAGGAATGTGTGGGTAGTCCCAGAAAGCTTAGAGGCAGTACCACAGGGTTGTCCCCCCACAGGCTGTCAGTGCCATGGACAGGTGTGAGCAGGCCTTCTTTGGCCCCAACATCCACAGATGCCCCATTCTCATCTTTAACCAGCTGCCCAGCTCTTGTGAATTAACCCCAAGTGCCCAGCAGCCAAGACCTCTGTGTCCCACCATCACCTGGGCAGGGCCCTCTCTGAGCAGTTGGATTCTTCCTGGTATACATTTGATGTCTGATTTGACATTGGCTTCCAATTCAAAATGAACTGGCCATAGATTACTTATACAATTCATTTATTAAAATTTACTTCCAATTGACACTGAGGTTTTGTTGCTAAGTATAATGGGGGTGAGAACACCTTGCATTCACCGTATGAAAAAGATAGCCTGTTACAAACCCTCAGGCCAGAGAGCTAAGTAAGTCCTTATTAACCCCCTACAAGGCCCTGGCCTAGCCCACCAGACCCATATTCTGCACTCCAAACCTCAGTCATTCCTTCCAGACACTCTGACCTTCATTATTCCTAGATATGCCAAGGCAATACCTTTCAGGGCCTCTGACCATTACACAGGTGGCTTCTTCTAAGAATTCAGACCTCACTTGAGTGTCACCTCCCCAAACATCTTCACTCTCCAGCCCCATCAGGGTTTACTTGTATCACTCTTTACTACCTAAAAATTATCCTCTGAAATTGCTTGGTTTTACCTGACTCTCCCAGGTGAAATGTCACCTCCTACAGGACAAGGGCCTTCTTTTTCTTGGTCACTCCGACCTCCAACATCTGCAGCAGATCCTGGCACTGAGTGGGCAGTGATAAACTGAGGGGGAGGGGCATGCTAAATAGAGAAAATTTCCATTTACAGAGTACCTACTAAGGGTTTGGCAATGTGCTTCTCCCTTCCCCAAATTTAATTTAATTATTGCAACCTGTAGTTATTTCACCCCCATTTTACAGAGAAGGAAGTCATGGATCCAAGAGGTTAAGTAACTTGCTTAAGGTCCAGCTCCCAAGATTTTAGACTTTTTGAACCACAATAGAGAAAAGAGAAATAACATGTGACCCTCTAACACCAGAAGATAGGCAGTCACCAGAAGATAGGTGAGTCCTGATGGTATATATGAATTTGGGGTATTGGCTTTAAATCATCCTATTAATAGGCCCTCACTGCACTATAGATAACACATCAGATACCATACATCATCCCCTCTCTCTCCCTCAGTTCTTCCAAGCCACCCACATTTAACTGAGCAAATCCTCTTGAAGTGTTCCATTTAATTGAGCAGATCCCACCGAAGTGTTCACTTAATTGGCCTGATTAACTGTTGAAATTCTGCAGCCACAACCCCCAAGTGAATCGTTCATTATTCTTTTCCAGGTAGCAACAGGAATGGCCCTTCCTGTACCAGGTTTGCCCAGGGACTTCACCTGAGTGCACTTCAGATCACCACCCACAGAGACAGAGCACACAGACACAGAAATAATTTAGAAGGTGCTCATAAAAACAGGAGGGGAAAAGTGAGCCCTGATTTCACAAAAGGAAGCTAAACTCTGCATAATTAACTAAGTATATCGGGTAAAAGCTTTAGAAGAAGCAAAGATAAAGCATTAAAAAAGATAATACACATTAACTCCCACTGCAGTTAAAAATACAATTATCATCAATCCCAGAGACAATCTGATCATTTAGAAGCCATGATGCACAATGGCTCTATTTTAAAATGGTGGAACTAATCTGGAAAAGAAGCTGGACGCAGTGACCAAAGTGACAAAAACAGGTGTCTGCTGCCTTCCAAAAGTGGACCTTGGGAAATCAAGGTCAAAGCAATTCTAGGCAGAATATGAAAACCATTGTAGTGTACCCAATGGATACAGAGGGTGAGGCTGACCTTCGAAGTAAGTCACCGTGGAAAAGCATGCCCCAAATCTCATAAGGCGCACCCCTACACAGCCAGGAAATGCAAGTTCAGAGAAAGATATGAGAAGACAAATCTCTGCCTCTTAATATAAATAATACTACCTTCCTTCTTTAAGCGAGATGTGTAGTGTAGTCTAATGACTATATGCTCCCAGAGACTGAGAGCCCTTAAGTTGACTTCAGATTCCGCCCTGAACCTAGTCAAGTGCCACAGCCACTGCAGCTGTTTCATGAACACAAGGAAATCTTGTCCACACTAACCCACTGCCTGGCAATCAGAAAAACCATGCTTTGTAAAATATGAGAGAGCATCACGTGAACAAGTGGTCCTGATAGTGCTTTAGATAGCAATGTGAATTTTAACCAACTTATTTAAATTTAAATAGACTTTTCAATAGGGAATCAGAAACATTAAGAATCAAAATAATTATTCCACTTAGATCAGAAAGAACAGAAAGAGTTGAATTCAATGAAGACAAAAACCAACCTGTATCACAAAAAGTATCAGGTGTCTTCTGGTCGACTTTGAGCTGAGGATCCCTCTTCTGGATATCTGGCTACTACTAAAGGTCGATTTGTAGCCTAAAAGATGAGTGTTTGACCAATTCCATGGCACAAATAGCCAAGCAACCTCCTCAGCAGGTGCTGCCAGTTCCTGGGCAGTAGGGACAGAGGGCAAGCAGCAAGGCCAACCAAATTAGATCTGACAGCTTCTGGAAATTTCCAAGGGGTGCCAGAAACACCTGGACTCCCTGGAGTATCTAGATAAGGACCTGTAGCAGAATGTCCACAGGCCCCAGAAGACAACAGGTGGCTCATGGTATTCAGTTTGGTTCTGGGCCTGAGCAAAAATGTCTCAGGGGGATGTCTTTTTAGGTCACACAAGAGACCTCTTTTTTCAGCATCTAATTCAGATAGGTGTCTTCAGCTCCCTCTCCCATCCTAATGATCACCTGGATTCCCAGTTTTCCTTACTGAATACATGTTCTTCCTTGAGTTGTGTCACTTAGACTGAGAGAACTGTTTCTGGACAAAGACAGTGCAGCAACACTGGCATATATGAAAATATAGTCACTTCCACAATGGAAACAATACTTCTCACCATCTTGCATCCCCACCTATGGGGTCTTCTAACAGCAAGGCCAGAAGACATGGTCTGTAAACACCCAGACTTACCCAAAAGGGACACACAGGCATGGCTCACCATGTCTTGGAACAATTCTGAGCAATTAGTCAACCAGATAAGGTTCTACCTGTTGGACTGAAATAATTCAAGGGAACAGAAGGAGACTTGGGAACATATCTTTTGGGGTTGTGAGTGCTCAACCAAAGGACAGGCTGACACTGAACACACCCTGCAAGATCCTGATCCCCCCAAACCAGGAAAGGCCAGGACACTGAGCCCCTGGGCTAAAGCTGGGCCTGCTCTCTACCTGTCTTGCCAGGATGGGGCTCCCAAAGGCCCCATTTGGGCCCACCTTATACTGTGCAAATGTGCTGCTACTAGAAGTGGCAGAATTCTAAAGGGCCAAAAGAGAGGGTGTTTCACCAAGAAAAGTCTGTTTCTCTTGGGATGTTTTTGTCTGTGTGTGTCTTTTTCTGTGTGCGTGGGTGGGAGGCATCTGTCTCTGTCTTCCTCAGTTTTCCTCTCTCACTCTGCCTGGGCACCTGTCCCTCTCTGTTTAGGTTTCCATTTTCTTTCCCTTCTATAAAAAGCCAGAAGGTAGACCAGAAGGGGATTTTGTAGTGTTTGTTGCTCTTAATTGAGGAAAAGTTTATGTTCCCATTTCTCCAAGAAGATGCATGCCATTTTAGTAAAAATCAAAATAAATTGTAAGCATAGCTTCATTTAGGTTACACTGCCCTGGATATGAAAGAATCTAAACGAGGGTGGGGGCAAATCCCAAGGGATCCCTGGGCCATTTGAGGAGCTCAGGCAGGTTAGGGCTAGGGTTGGATCAGTGGGTTAGAAACCTGACTTGGGGTTTGCTAAGAACTCAAGGGGCAGAGTAGCAGGTGTGGGTGGGGCCAAGGAGTCTGCATTTCTAATCAGCACTGGGTTTGGGACACAGAGCTGCTTCTCCTTAGCACTGGGCCATCTAAAATCTGGAGGCTTCCTCACCTCAGCTCAGCAGACAGGATTTTAGCCCATGAGCCTCCTGAGTGGAATCTCACTCTATGCTGTCAGACTTCTGGGAAAACAATTCACATTTTCTAGTGATTTTCCAAGGGGTCTCTCACCCAAAGAAGGCTGGAAATCACTGCTCAATAGGATCCTAAATATAGCTCCAGGGATTTTTTTGGGAATGGACTGGACTGTGCCAGGCACTGTGCAAGCTGCTTCTACTTAAAGGCCCAATGGGGGAGGGAGGATGGAGGATGGGGTGAGGCAGCATTAGTGCCCAGAGGAGGTACTGTTCTAGCAATCCCATCTGAAATCCTTTGGTAAAGGAAAAATGTTGCGTCTGAGGTTGAAGAAATATTTCACTGACCAAGGAGACTGGAGGGGGCTGGCGGCTGGCAGCTGGGCTAGGCAAACGCTGCCTGGAGGGTGTCAGTTGGAACAGGGTGGGACCTCCGGGAAGAGGGCCAGTATTTGGGGGTGGTGGTGATTGAAAGGGACCATGGGCTTTGGGCGGCAGGCGAGTGGGGGGGATGGAAAAAGACATGTAATTAATCACCCAAATATAGACTAAAGGAGGCAGCAAAGGAGCTTAGGAGCGGTGGCACTGGAGCAGGAGATGGTGGCCCCCAGAAGGGCGACAGATAAAGCCCAGATCAGACCGAGGGCCTTGAGCAAGGGCTGCCCCTCCCCCTCCCTCAGAGACCTTGGGCTCTAGTCTACCCGTCCCCATCCTCCCCGCCAAGAAGAGGCTCGACCCCCACCCAAAAGAAAAGGAAGGACTCCACTAGCAGGAACCTTCCCCAGCTCACTCACCTACGCCCCAGACTGCGGCTCAGCCCCTCCCCCAGACTGGAGAAATGTCCTTTAAATACTCACCAAACGCCCCCTACCCCTCGGCCTCCATTACACTTAGGGCAGTCCTTTCCTTCCCACACTGACCAGTTCCCACGCCTTAACGTCTTCCAAAAAGCAGGGTAGGCCTCCGCACGTCGGCGATTCCCGCCCCTGACCACCTTCGCCTGCCCGCCGTGGGAAGGCCTTCGGGCCCCCTCCTACGGGCCACCCCGGACCCGTTTCCCCCTCTGGCGGGCCCCAGGGCAAAACAGCTTATCGCGGGCCCAAAGACGTCCCCCCAACAAGGCTTGACTGTCCATCCCCCACCTCACAATCCCCGAAACACTCATCCCCAAACCCCACATTCTCCCGGGTCATCCCCCTGCGCATCCTTCCGCGGCCCAAACTATCACCCCGCACATTCACCCGCGGCCCGCGTACTGTCCCGAGCCTCCAGGACATCCCCTTGCGGACCAACCGATCACCCATCTCTGCACACCCTCCAGTGCTCTGAGCATATCCTCCCGTGGTCTGCACGCTCACCCCAGCCCGGCGGTGGTCGACGCACGGCCCTTGGCTAAGCGGCGCTGGGTCGGCCCAGGCAGGCCCGGCGTGGCAGGAAGCGCTACGGAGCCGCCCGCGCCCGTGCGCCGCTGA